TTATTTAAAAATTGTTATTTTGATAAAATTGATTCTAAAATTTCTACATGGTTTCCGTAAAATTAGTCAGTTAATTAAAATAATATATCTAACATTCTAAATAATTAAAGTGACTTCATAATTCATAAGATTTCTCCAATTCCAATTACTCGATTATCAGCGGTGGTTGGTGTTTAGATCTTATTTTCTTCTAGGATATTAAATGAATTTGTATATTTTTTACTATCCTTACCTGTATAAATTATAATAAAGGCATAACTAAGATCCATAATCTATGAACCTTATTGATTGCCTATAACTTGAAAAATTTACCACTTTATATGCTCTTATTCTTAATGCAATCTCATTGTCATCAAATATAAATAAGCATCTTGTTGTTAACTTTAAAATTTAAAGAAACTGAAGATTTACTTATAAATTCTTTTCATTTTTAAACATAATATTTATTTTTTAATTTTATTGTTAAAAGTGAAGTTTAACTTCTGAGAATACGTTTTTTTTATTTTATTCTTGATCCAACATTGTTATTTTGATTTTTGTATAATTATAATATGCGAAAAATCAAACTTATTAATGTAATAAACCAAATGTTGATAATTTTACGAATTACTAAAAAATAATAAACTATTATAATTAATTTCTATATTTTTTTGGTTAATTTCAATTAGTGAAGTGGATTTAGAAGAGTGATTTTTTTCAACTTATTTGCATAAGCATATCTAATTTAATATTCTTTAATCTTTCTTTATAATGAATTATAATTTGAATTTTTACTTATTTCAAAACAATCCATATTTTCTACAAAGTGCATTATTAACTGAAACATTTAGTATTACTTTATATCAAATTTAATAAGCCATTAATTCTTTCTCCTCTATTATTAAATATAAAATAAATAAAGGTCTACTTCACCATATATAAATTATTGCATTTATTCATTAATAATTATTTTAATAATAAGTGTTCCAATGATTTTTCCCCTATTTGTCTTAATTGATGTTTCAAATTCATAATGGTAAGACCATCAGAAAAGGTTATATTATGATGTGAAATTTACTGAGGATTAATATTAAATCGCAAATTTTATAAATTGCACAACACCTCCAACAAGCTATTTTACTCTCGATCGAAAATATCCATCAGCTTTTTATTTTTTGCTTATAAACAATAATTAAGCATACTTTTTTTCAGTGGATTTATATTTTCATGGTACTTGGGCATCTGAGACTGTTACAATTACATTTGGCTCATTTTTATATTAATATAATTACACTTCCCCTACAAAATATCAATTGACAACAGGATTTTGTGATAACATCGCTTATGAAGTTAGAACTGTTAATTTTAAAATTGAACTCCCTGATCCAAATATAAATCAATACTAATTTACATCATTAAATATGAATGATGGATAAGTTTCAATTAGATATATTTATCTCCATTCTTAAGTGTTACCCATCATGTAAATATTGCACAGGACAAAAATTTAATTAATGTACAAGTTGCTATTATGGATTACCTACAAACAATATTTGTCCTCCCTGCCCATCTAATTAATTTTATGAGAAAGATAAGGGATGCAGAGATATTTGCAATATTTAAACTCCTTTATACTCTAATGGGTTTTGTTAAAATTATCCAAGTATTTAAATTTAAATACAATAGATAGCTATTCTATAAATTGGGTTTGGGTACATTTCAAATTCTGGGTTAATATATATGATCCACTAAATTTAGATACAACTCCAACAATTATATAAAATTAATTATTATTAGGAGTATTTAAGTTTTATTCTGGATTCTCTTTATTATTTCAATTATTCTAAACCAATTCCTAAGCAATCTATTCAATTGGGCTTAGAATTAGTGTTATAACTCTTAATGATATTCCACTCAATTGTGGAATATAGTTTTTGATTAATAATACTTATTCAAGTTCAATTTATAGAAATGAATCAGGAATTTAAACGCATAGAATAACAATTTATGAAACTAGTAGTTAAGGGGCATATTTAAATTATTCTTCAAATAAGTTATATACTTTGATTACATACGTTAATCTTCCAAACTATCCTTTTCTTTTTTCAGCAAAAGGGAATTATTCGTAATAGTTAATATATTATAAATTAGTGATAATACAGCAGGATGGGGATTCAGGGAAGTTTCAATTACTTCAGGATATTGCCCTTAAAATTGTATATTATGTGAGGTATCATTTAAATGCTCAACTTGTAAAAGCGGATATTATATGCATAACAATATTACATGTACTAGTTGTTAAGAACCATATTAGAAATTAAAGGGTTCTTACTGTAATGATTTTGATAATGAAACACCTTGTATCTCATTTATATATATATAGACTCTTAATATTTAACAAAAGACTTTATAGATTTTGGACACGATCCTGAATAATATATATAATATATACTAGTCTCTTAAAATGGGACAAATTTTTTAAAAGGTTCAGATATATATTATTCAAATTTGTATTGGAGTTTGAACTCATTTTGGTCAAGAATTTTTGGAGGTCCTCTAATATGGGCTTAAGCTAAATTTTAAAGGACTCATAATGTAGATGACCCTCATCATGGTATCACTATTGCATTTTATATACTTTATGGACCAGCATTTCCATCAGATGGTTTGTTTATTTATACAATTGAAAATAACCAACCAGTTTCTAAATCAACCAAAAATTTTACTCGTAAATATTCTAATGGAGTAAAATATGATAGAGTTTATGAAAGAATTAATCATAACACAAATACATTAACAATAAGTTGGGAATGTTTTGGACCAAATAACGAACCAATTAAAGCTTATTGTGGATTTTATAATTATTACGTAGCTATTCATAAATGCTAACCTTATTGTTTATAATGTTCAAATGAAACGACATGTTTATAATGGAATAGTGACTATGATGAAAATATTGTTAAATTCTCATAAGAAGAGTGTTTAATTAACTAATATCATGATAAAGATTCTTATAGATGTTTTGATTGTCCAATATCTTGTTTAACATGTACATCTAAAATTGATTGTTAAAAATGTTAATCTACTTATACATAAACTATATTAGGATGTGTTTGTAAATAGAATCAATATGAAGATTCAAATCAATGTTTAGACTGCCCAATTGAATGTAATTAATGTTAAAGTTCAAACAACTGTATAGAGTGTTTAATTACAAATAATAGATACCTAAAAAATTAATAGTGTATATGTATTGATGGATACTATTCAATTTTATCTAATCCTTAATGTAAAAAATGTCATTAATTTTGTAAAACTTGCAGTGGACCTACTTCTGATGATTGTTTGACTTGCAATAATATTATTAATATTGAATATGTTGAAACAACATGCAAATGCCCAATAGGATTGTTTTATTAAGCAGCTACAAATTCATGCTCTTAGTGTCATTCATCATGTTAACCTGCTTTAAAGGAACATTAGAAAGTTGTTAAACTTGTGATGCTTCTTTGAATAGAATTTTAAAAGGGTTAAAATGTGTATGTGTACCTGGTTATTATGAACTAAATAGCATATGTACAAGTATTTAGATAATAATTAATTTTAGACTGTCCAAATACAGAAAATATTTTATTAACTTCTTGTTATAAATTTTGTACTAATCATTATATATGGCACACAAATGAATGTAATTCTTGTGATCCTGGATTTCATTTAATTTCTGGAGAATGTTTACCTATTTGTGGTGATTTATAAATATTAGGATATGAATAATGCGAAGATAATAATAATATTTTAGACGATTTATGTTATAATTGTTAATATTAATGTCCAGCTTATTGTTTAACTTGTGATGAATCAACTACTTTACCTTGTCCTGATATTTGTGGAGATGGAATGATTACTGGAATTGAATAATGTGAAGATGGGAATATTATTTAATATGATGGATGCTTTGATTGTTAATATGAATGTTAATCTTAATGTACAAAATGTATTAAAGGTGAGTGTTTTGAATGTAATACTGGTGGATGGTATACTGATTTAACAGTTCAACCTTGGTTATGTAAAGAGTAATGTGGAGATCAAGTAGTAGTTGGATAGGAATAATGCGATGATGGTAATCAAGTTGATACAGATGGATGCAAAGATTGCAAATATTTTTGTAGAATTGGATGTTCTTCTTGTGATTATACTATTGGTAAATGTTTAACTTGTGAATTACCTGGATTTGTTCCAGAAAAGTATTATTGCAAAAATAATTGTGGAGATGGGTTAGTTGTAACTGATCCTTCTGGGATATATTCTGAACAATGTGATGATAGAAATAAAATTGATGATGATGGATGTAATAACAGTTGCCAATTTTAATGTCAATCACCATCGATATGCAAGAGTTGTATAAATAATAGATGTGAAGTATGTGCCACTGGATATTTACTATATGATACTAAAATATGTCATTCAATATGCGGAGATTCTATAAAACTCCCTAATGAATAATGCGAGGATGGTAAGATATTACCATATAAGGGGTGTAGAATTGCAAAGCAAAATGTTAATCCTCCTGTATTACTTGTGATAATACTGGACTTGGTTGTTTGGCTTGTAAAGTTGGTTATAAAAGAATTGATAATTTTTGTTATTCAATTTGTGGAGATAAAATTGTAACAGAGGATGAAGAATGTGATGATGGCAATTTAATTTTTGGGGATGGTTGTCATTAATGTTATTTTAGCTGCCCTTGCTAAATGTGTATAGATAGAATTTGTGTAGATTGTCCTGAAGATCATTTTTTATATAAGAGTTAATGTCTTAACTTAAAAGAAAACATTAATTTAATTGAAACTCCTATTTTTTTATTTTCCAATTTAAGCATAACTTAAACTTTCAAGGCTTAATCTGCTTAAATTAGTAAAATTCAATTAAAAATAAAGATTGGTGAGCTTTTAGAAAAAATAATTAATCGAATTGGTCAAAATATAGAAATTATTTATGAATATTTTCCTTATGTAAAAATAGAAATTAATTTGAAATGCTCTAAGAATAAGATTGCTAAGATGCATATTATTAGATCTAATTATGAGATAGGAACTAATAATCAAGATTATATATTCACATACTAATGTCATGAAATCGTTAATCATTTATTAGTATTATCTTTTAGGTTAGATAAAATAGTGTTAAGAGATGAAATAATACTAACAAAAATTTCAGAGGATGAGTTGATATTATACACTATATATGAACAGTATCCATAAAGGCTGTTATAAATCACATTTTTTGATGTTTGATGAATTATTATCGTAATAAAGATCTATTAAAAATCCAATATATTTCTTTATTCATAAATGTTAATTTTATTAATATTAAAACAATATTAAGATCTAATATATTTAGCACAGAATTAAAATAGATTTTAATCAAATTTTTCTGAAACTTATTATTCTATAAATTATAAAAATTGGGATAAATCTTTGATATTATAAATCTCTTTTTTATTATATAATAGCAAATCCTTTTTTATTTAATACTTTATATATGATCATTGAAAAGTCTCAAACAAACTATGATCTTTAGAAGCTTGTTTTAAAAATATATTAATCTCTTAATAATTCTAAATAAAATAAAAAGGATTATTCAATATTTATTTCTTTTTTCATAATATTAAAATTCAAAAGCACTCTAATTTTTTTTTATGATTTCAATTTTTCTTCAATATCTAATCATTGTCTTTCAATTTATTCTTATTCGTCTCTATGAGAAGTATTAAACAAAATTCTTAAGTAATAATTCAAGTCCCGCGAAAAAATTTTTTTGTAATATCCTGATAATGCAAATGTATCAGAGCTAATCATTTCAATAGTAGATTTAAATTACTAATTATTAGATAAATTAATTATTGAAGTGAGCAAATATTAATACCTATTTTTAGATACTTTAATAGAAACGAATTATTTAATGAATATTAAGAAATGTTGAATTTTTCTACTTTAATAAAGTGTGATTTTTTTAATTTTTTTATTCAAAGATTATTCTATATATTCATATCAACTAAATATGTTAATAATTGTATAAATAATTCAAAAAGACGAAAATGACTGATTTTATCTAAGTTTTTAAATTCTTAAAATCATCAATTTTATCTATTCTTTCCGAAAAATATGGCACAATTTTAATACCGCTTTGTACCTTTTAAATTAACTCCTTTATTTAGAGTATTTAAACAATTCTATCATAATCATAGTCTCATAAATTAATGTTCCCTGCTATTCATATTTTTAGTAATTATTAACAATATTTCAAATAATATACACGTTCAATTTATACTAACCTATTTTAGCAATTTTAAATACTTTTTATAAGAATTTGCTACATTCTACATTTAATTTAGTATTTGCATACCCAAACAAATAAATTAAAGCAATATATAATAATTGATATATTGGTTGATTTTACGAAATTCTGGTTCAACAAACTTTTCGAGTGGGCTAATTTTATTTTATTTTAATCTAAGTTATTTTCAACTTATAACAAAGAATAATATGATTATTCTTTATTTGTTAAAGCAATTTTCATTCATAAGAAAGCAGAACTCAAATTCAATATATAATAATATTATATTTAAATTATATATTTTTATATAAATTAAAAAAAAATTGGATAAGATTAAAGAATTACATCCTGAATTCAAAAATAATTAATTGGTCCATAAAAATCTATACCTTTTTAGGTCCTTACTTCATTAAGATTTCTTAGTTTAATACTTCATAACTCTGCTATATTAAAAAAATTCAATGAAGTAAAAGTAGTCTTAGAATCTCTTAATGGCTCCAAAAAAGAAATAAAGAATTTTCAAGAACATATAAAAATAATTAAAAATTTTCTGTGTTTTAGATATACTAGAAATACTAAGATAATTTTCTGATCATATATTTATATCTTTAAAATTTGGAGATATTATTTAAAAGTAAATTAATTACTAATCCACACCTTGAGATACATATTTGAAATTGCAAAAAGGATTTCAATATAAAATCATATTTTATGTCATTGCCCTGTAACTAGATTAAAAGTGAATTAGCAATAAATTGATAAAAAATTCCACTCTCTGCTTTAAATCATCTAATTTATGCTTTGAAAAAACCTCAAATATAAGAGATATGTTTAGATTATTAATGAAGATTTTATCCAAATACTTATCAATATTTAAAAATAATAGATATTTGTTTCATTTAATTATAAAAATATTGATAATGATATTTCTGAAAAGTGCCTATTAAAATAAAATTGAAAATCAAGAGGATTTGAATGAAATATAATTTTTATAAGATAATAATAATAAAATCTAACAAGAAAATATGATTGAAGAAATATATTTTAATTGTAAGTATTGATAAAGAAGCTTTCAAGAAACAAATCATCAACGATATTATTATATATTTATATTAGGCTAAAACCCAAATTATTTTTTTTAATATTATTATCATTTTTCTTCATCCTTTTCTTAAGGGTCAGCCTATTGTTATTCATGGTCAGCCTATTTTAAATCATCTTATATTTAAGGGTCAGCCTATTTTCGTTCATCTTGTTTTATTTTTTTTTATTTTTTCTTATTTGACTTTTTATTTTATTTGGTATTTGATTCCTTTTATCTTTTTTATAAAAGTTCTAGTAAATTACTGAGAAATTTTTTTGTAGTTGAAGACTTTTAATAAATAAAATATGTTGGAATGGCCACTCCAAATAAAGATTTTACAAATTTTTTAGAATTCTCAGATAAATACTCTGAAAAAAAGCCTCCTATCAAATCTCCCCATTATTCACAATTTTTTATAATTTCTTAAATAACATCATTTTCATTATCATTTTCATTATCATTTTCATTATCTTCTTCTTAGATTTATTTTTCTTTAGGTATTTTTTATTATTTATTTGTATATTTTATTTAAGATTTTCTAATTTTATTTTAATTTTCATTTTTTGACGGTTTTTTACCACCAACAAATAATAATTGATTTGCATCTTAAGGATATCTATCTTTAATCCAATTTGCAGCTTCAAGAATGGTTTATCCATTTTCTAATTTTAAAGTTTATGAAGCAACTTAATTTCTTAACATTTAAATATTATTTTCATTAACTTCAATATTGAGTTATTTTAATGCAACAGCATATGTACAGTTATTTTATCCAAATTTATTTATTGGATCAAATATTGTTCCATCTTTTTATAAGAGAATATCATGTCCAATAATAGCATTTCCAAAATCATCTACTTAATTAATATGTATTCTTATATCTTAATTAGGATATTAATTTCTAATTTCATTAATAAATTCTTCATTTAAAAGATCAGATTCTTATACTTAAATTTCTTCTGAGTTTATGTTATATATTTGATCAATAATAATTTTATCCTTAAGATCAGCAGGTTTATCAGCCTTAATATGTTCTGCATCAAGAATAATTTAATTATTATTAGTATCTTTATCATTTTGATTAAAGTTAATATTCTAAATAATGTATATTTATTAAAAGGCAACAGTGTATGATTTAGCTGTATCCTTAATATCTTCAGCATATGTCTTACCATCATTAATTTATCTTTAAAGTTATGCAAACGCATATCCAGTAGCTTAATTAACTCCTAAAGTAGTCCAAGGATTAATCAAATAAGAGTCAATTATTCTTACTATCACATCTGTAAGATTCTTGCTGATTATATTTGAGAAGTTCATTAAATCCTAATCTATATATATTTTATTTTCGCAATCTTTTATCTTTTTTAGAAATTCTTTTATTCTAATTCTCTTTTCGGGTGTTATTTGAAGTTATTAAAGTTTATTTTCTTAGTCTTGGGTTATTTCGTAATATGGATATTCATAAATTTTATTTTGTTTAAATACGTTAATCACTGAATCATATTCTTATCTTTAAACTTCAGATTCTTTAAAATCTTTTATTAAAGGATGTAATAATCGCTTATATCCATAAAATGCCTCGGCATATTCCTACAAATCTTTAATTATTTATTATGGAACTTTATTTATGAGAGAATGAATTTCATACATTCCTGAAAAAGCAGCCAAAACTCTTGCAATTGCTCCTATTTCACTAGGAATTCCTTATTAATTCAAATATGTTAATCTTTGTAAATAATTAAGCATAAAATCACTTATTTATCTTAAAAAACTACTATTCTACAAATAACTTATTAAAATCCCCTCGATTTATTTTTGCAATTTAGTTTTACTTTAATTTAATTCTAATTAGTCTATCACTAACATTTTCTTTAAGAAACTCTTGGTATCGTATTCCTTAAATTTCTCCATAATTTTCTATGAAATGTAGTATTAAATTCCTGGCATTTTTGAGTCAATTATATAATTGATTGATTAATTAACTCCTAAATTTATTCCTTTTTAAACTATCATCTATGTAGTATTATTTAAAGTTTATTTAAATGCCAATTAATATAGTTTCTTTGATTATTAATTTAATTATGACCATGCTGATTTTAAAAAAGACTTTCCAAATATATATCCTCTAATTGCGAATTGTTCTTTAGTTTCTGTAAGTGCTTACCTTGGAAAAGTATTCACAATTCCCTTTCCTGCATCTTTCAAGTTGCTTAAACCAAGAGTTACACATGATATTGTCACACTCAAAATTTTTTATTTTGCATAGTTAGACCAACGAAAATCTCTGTTCATATAAACAAATCCTGAATTTACACTATCAGCTATTCCTTCTGAAATCAGAGCCATCCCTGCATTTGCACCAAAACCTGTTCCAACTAACATTATTCCACCTACCACTTATAGTGCAGCTATCGTATTTAATGCTAATAAACTGCGATAAGGAATAAACTTTTTCTCATTTATTTCATAAATTTATGATATACCTCTATTAGATAATTCTTCCAATTCTATTTATGCCCTTGATTTCTCTTACATAAATAAATCTTCTAATGTACCTTTATCCTTAGTAATTTCAATCCTCTCTTCATTTACTGATGCCTTCTCAATAATTTATTCTAAATTTTCTTAATCCACTTCTTTAAATATTAATTGGAATTCAATATTTTTCTATCTTAATACTTAAATTAAACTTATTGCTTCATCCTATTTTAAACTCCTAAAACTGGCTATTGCATTCTAATCCTCATTAAAATCTATGATTAACTCACTGTATTCAATTTTTTTGAATTTTATATTAATATATATCTATTCACACAATTCAAAGGCTTTTATAAGTTTTTATTTATCTTACTCTTACATACTTAATTTTACTATAAGATCCTATTCATCACTTAATTGATTAATATACTTCAGAGCATCCTAATTCTAATAATTTTCATAAAGTTTGCTTTCTTTCATCCATATTTAAAAATTTTCAGAATTTATAAGCTAAATAACTGGCATAATTAATTCTTTAGTAGCTTTCATTTCTATATCGATTGATTGTGATTTAATTTTCTCTACTATAGTTTTCGCAAATTAATGACTAATACCCTAATATTGTAAGTCTAAAGCTGCTTAGCTATTTTTATGAAATACCTTTGAATTTATAATTATAGATGAATTTTCATTAACATTTAAAATCTACAAATTAAATATTTAATTTAAATCTTTACATTTTTCAATTTTTGCTTTTGCTTCTTCTATTTATAATTATTCGAATTTCTTCTCGCCTTAAATTTTAAGATTAACTTAAGTCGTTTTTTATTTCTAATATTAATCTAATTTCATCAATAGGAAGTCTCTATCAGAAGCATAATAGTTCTCATTTTTCTCAAGGATTGCAATAATTTATTGAAGCTTCATTTAGTTGAGTTAGATACAAATATTGGGATTTTAATCAATTTTGGGAAACTTTCTCTTTACATAATTAAAATAGGATTCTTAATCTTTTATTGTATCCTCAGCTTGATCTTTATTTCCACAATCGTATCTTACAGTTAAATCATTAAAAACAATATCATAGCTATCAAAAGGTTCAATTTGATTCTTTTGTAATTTTTCCATTATTTTTATTTTTGGTTATTCTACTTCGATGGGAACAACATTTTCACAGTTACCTTTCTAAACATTTCCATATATAGTAATTAATCTTTATGATTTCTTTATGGTTTGAATTGCTTGCTTGATTGAATTGATATAAGATCCTAAGATAGTAATTTTAAGTTGAATTTACTGTGATAGACTAGTTTTATTATCCAATTAACATTAAGAAATGACACATGTTATAAGTTGCTATTCTTGAAGCACTATTTATAAAGAATTATTTAATAATTTTTAGATTATTTCTTTAAATTGAGTATTCTTACTACTCTCTTTTTTTAATAGTACTAAACTTTAATAATAATATGCTGCTGCTGCACACCCTGATTCATCAAGTTTTTATGCTTCTTCGAATTATTTCAAAGCTTTTTTATATCCACCATTTTTGAAAATTAAAGGTATTGTGTCTAAGTAAAATTTACCTATTTAAATTTTATAATATGGATTTTTTATTATTTAATTATTTTCAATACTTTCCAAAATATCTCTTTGAAAAATATTATATTCCTAATTAGCATTATTTATTTTAATTTAATTTTTATCTATTTTTTATATAAATAAAGCCCAATTCTCTTCAATACTTTTAATTATGATTAGTTCCTCTTTAGTATAATCTAAATTTTTCTATTTAGATTATTTAATTTAATAATGAACATTTTTATTCTGTTCTTCTAACATCTTACATTATTCACTTAGAAAATCTGTATAATTTTAAAAAATTTTTACTCTTATGTTTTCTCTAATAAAATCTAAGAAAAGACAAAATTTTTCGAACAATTAATCCTTCAAATTTATAAGAACTAATTAATTTTGTAAATAATCATCTAAATATTTAGATTCCTATTCATCCCTTGCTTCTCTAATTTTAGTAAAGTCTTAAAAACCATATTTGATTAATTCATCTTTTGATAAAATCATTTAACCTGTTCCTCTTTTTCCTTACCTTGCAGTTCTTCCAAAAACTTAATCATCCACTCTTTTATTTGATGTTAAATAAGATAGAATAACATGTAATCCTCCATTTTTTTCAATATCATCATCAGTTTTAATATCTGTACCTCTTCCAGCAAGATTAGTAGCAACAAAAATTTATTCAGGAGCTATATATTCTATTTATCTCTCTTAATTCATATTATTCATTACATAAAGTTTTAATTTGTATTTTTCATATTTATCTAATAAATGATTATAAATTTATTAAGCATTTGCTATTGTTTAACAAATTATTAAAACTCCCCTTTTTTTGTGTCTTGCTTCATCAATAGCAGATTCACAAATCTCATCAATCCATCTATTTTAATCAACAAACCTTGTTGGAAATTCAATATATAATTTTTCCTTTGAAAGTGGTATAAATACTAAATCCACATTATAAACTTAACTAAGTACTTCTTAGGCTTTTTCTGAACCTAAAGTTCCTGTCAATCCAAATAATTTATCTTTATATAATTTAAAATATCCGACATTAGACAAAAAGTTTGTAGTGAAACTTTCTGATGTTATTTTTAAATTATGTTTTATTTATAAAAATTAATGTAATCCATCACCCCAATTAGTTTAAAATTATATAAGACCTGTACTATCAAAATCAACTGGTTTTATTTCATCTTCATCAATTATATAATGAACATTTTCCTAATATTTAAATGCTGCTAAAAATGCATTTTTTATCCAATTTGGTAATTATAATTCTACGAATTCTAAAAAATTCTTTGGAATTTAAATTTTTCCTAATGAATTTTGTTCATCTGATTACTTCTCATTTTAATTATCAAAGTTTTGACTTACTTAACTGTTCACTTCTTTAATATAAAATTCCAGTAAATCTTCATTTATTTCAATTTTTTAAGTTTTTTATTTTACATAATAACATTTTTCCTTTTCAAAAATTATATTTTTGCTTAATTCATTAACTTTTAACCAAATAATTATATACAAAGGATGTAATTGATCTAAACCAGTTATTGGTGTGGACAATCTTGCTAATTTAGTATTATCATCAATTAACATAGTATCTACTTCATCTACAATAGCAATTTATTATTTTCTCTATCCTAAAGTATCTAATTTACTGTATTATTATCTGAGTATATCAAATTAAAATTAAGATACTTCTCCATAAACTATATCCTTCTCATAACATTTTTTAGGGCCTTTAGAATAAATTCCTTTATCACTATTATCAGCACATTCTAAATTAAAATATCTAAATAATTCTAAATAATATTATGAATCTCTTTAGGCTAAAATTGGAGAGCTTGTAATAATGTCAACTTTATAACCTTTTAATGCAAAAATCAATGCAATTATTACAATTATTGTAGATTTGCCTTCTCCGGTTGCAACTTACAATAATCTACCATTTTATAAATTTCCATCATGAATTACTAATACACTTAATAATTATGTATCAGTCAATAAAAAATCTGTATGTAAATACATAGCTCTTATTATAACAGCAAGAACTTCTACCAAAAATTATTCATTCTTAAATAAATCCTTTACATTTTTCTTCACATATTTAGACCATTTCTAAATGTCTTCTTTCTTCCAATTTGAAATCTATTCACTATTTTCCTTACTAAAATTTAGTTACTTTTTCTCTTTAATTTAGCATATTAATTAATTCAATTGATACATAATTTCTTTATATTTTTTTTTTGTCTGATCTTAAAAAAATTAAAAAGATTTATTCTAATTATTTAAACTTTTTAATTTTACTTCTTCTAAAAGTTCTTAGCAGTCTTTTTATTTGCTTTAGATTAAAGTCTTGTTTGTTGCTATTAAATTAGCTTCCAAGATCCAATATTATATATTTTAAGAAAATAAATTTATCGATTAATCAGATTGTTGCACCTCATAATTTATATAAATTTCAAAAACTTTAAAAAAATTATTTTGAGCTTCTATTGACATATGATTGCCTTATTTCACTTCATTTAATTTAAATTTGTCGGTTATTATTTCCTTAATTTTTTTAAAACCATCAAAACTCCATCCTTATTTAATCAAGCTCTAAATTAAATTTTCTAAAACCAACTTGTTTTCTTAAAAATTAAATAAATTTATTATTGAACATAAATCCAGTATATTTATTATATTATCCAATGAAGTCTACTGAGGCAACCTATTAAAATAATCAAATTTATTTTTGATTAAAATATTTAACAATTTTTCTAATTTCAATAGATCATCAATTTCACTTAGAGATAAAAACAAATTATTTAGTAATTCGATATTTAATTATAAAGTACTCATCATTTTAGCTTACTCAATTAAATACTAATCTTGAATTTGTTGTGTTCCTAATTTATTTTTTAGTTAAGTTTAAATCCAAAAACATTTAAGCTCTTAATAATAATTTATTGAATTTTCTATAATCTGTGCACACTTCACTAAGTCGAGAAAGACTAAAATATAAATTATTTCCTATAATTATTGACATTCTAATTTTTAATCTAAATTTAGGTTTTTTAGTATTGAAAGCATTAAATTATTATCATTATTCTTTTTTTCTACTTTAATCCAATTTTCAGTCATATTTAAGATTTGCCTATTATTAGCTTTAGATTTATATAATAAATTAGTTAATAATAGTTCTCTTTATAAATATTGCTATTCTGTTTTGGGAATTTCTTTAATTTTAACAAAATCAATATGTTCTAAGAGAGAGATTATTTCTAATAAATCGTTATTGATATCTATATCTGTTTTTGATTAATTTAAAAATTTTTCTTTTGTTATTTAGCACCAATTATCAAACATCATAGATTCTTAGCCTTTAACTTAAGCAGCTAACAATCCTTTAACTGAATAATATCTAAGTATTTCATCATCATTGAATAGATTAACTTCCAAAATTAGTAATCCAATTTAAGTTTTTAAATTTCCGAATTAATATGCTATTGAAATACAAATAATCATATTGTCTCTTACTTTAGCATTTTTTTCCTCTTTTAAAAGTTGAGTTTCTATTGTTTATTTTAATTAATTAAATTATTTTAACTTTATGATCTTCGTATATGCTTAAATCAATTTTTTATGTACTTTAAATTCATTATTTTAAATTAATCCTTCAATAATAATAACTAAATCTTTATTAATAAAATTCTATTATAAAACTATATAGCAAAGCAATTTAGATAAGCAATATAATTACTCTAAACATATTTAATGCAAATCTCTATTGAGAATTTTTAAAAATTGTTCTATTGATTATTAATTAAAAATGAGAAAATTTTTAATATTCTTATCTATTATTTCTAATAATTAATTCAATTTAGAAATATCTACTTTATTAATCATTATTTCAAGATCCTTTTGCAATTTTTAAGGACTTAAAATATTTAAATTTTAATCAAGTTCTATATTTAATTTCTAAAGAATTTTATTTTCATCTTTCTAATAGATTTATTATATGAATTGATCATCAAGGCATCTTCCTGAAGTTTAAATTTAATAAATTAGTAGGATACAACCAGATTATAATTCTTCATCCATCTCATTAGAAAAAAGCCTTATTAAACTTTCTATCAAATCATCAGTAAATTCTTTTTTATTTTCACATCTTAATAAAAGATTTAATGCTTCTATTTTTTATTTCTTTTGTAAAATATTTAATTGTTAAGACAGAAGTAAAAAATGTTATGGAAGTAAAATTAAATCCTTTTAATTATATTAGTATTTCAGTAAATCATCAATTTCTTAAAGTTAAAATAGATTAATTTATTCTTTTACTGAGTCCTCAAGCTAACATTTATGTAAAATATTCAAAATCTTCTATCTCAAATTCTATTATAATTTAAAATCTTTCAGTTATTATAAAAATTTTTCAATTATTTGATTTTATAACCAACCTAATTTGGCAATTTTTAATAATATATTGTAACAAATGGTAAGAATGTCAGAATTTTCATCTTCTAATCTATTTAAAATATATGATTATACAATTTCAAAATTTTTTGTATCCTATCCAAATTTTGGATTTTTTTCAATTTATTTATCTATTCCTACTAATATTTGATATTCTAAATTTTTATCATTGCACTTAAATATTCTTTCAATTAACTTTTAAAGTATTTGAATATCAAATTCAGCTACATTTTAACTTAATAAAGCAAAAATAAGAAGTACTTTATTTGACACTTAAATATTTTCTAAAGATTATTTCAATTTATTTATAATTTCATTAGGTAACACTTGATTATTTTCTAAAACAGTAATGAATATTTTAATTATTCGATCATCAATCTATTCATCATTAAGTATATCATTTAGATCTTCAAGGATATAATTAGGAATAGAATATTTATTAAGAGCATGATTTAATAGGATTGCTAGTAATTTTTCCCTATCTCCTTTTTTCAACTTAGTGCTTATTTGTTCTAAATTGTGCTTTGATAATCCAAAACCTTGTTTTGTTTTTTATTCGAGATATTTTAAGGCATCATTTTCATCTTATTTTTGTTCTTTCAGAACATAACCAACTCTTTCCATTTATAACACTGTAAATACTTTTTCTGACAATTCTTAATTAAGTTCAACTTATTCTAAAATTTTAAATGCCTTTTTATATTATGCTTCATCTTCATCAAGATTTGATAATAAATATTCTAAAGTTTTCTCACTCACTTTTTTACCTTTTTTAATGATTTTTTTAAGGATTTTAAAGCATATTTGTTTATTACTAAATTTTTAATCGTTATTTGCATTATCATCTGCAATATCTAATTAATTTTCTATAGCAAAAATAGTTTCCTAAGGAATAAATATTTTGTTTTTGTTTTTTGTATAATTGTAAATAATATCGAGTGCTTTTTTTATATCTTAATTTGTATTAAATAATTAGTTAAATATTTCAAATACTTAAGTATCAAATTCTTATTATTGTAAATTTGATTAATTAGAAAAAATTATCAATATTGTCTGTTCGATATTTAAAGGTTTTTCATCTTAAATAATTATTTCTTAAAAGGGAAATAAACGTGAAAGTCTTTAAATGTGTATTTCATTGATAGCAAATTTGATAGATTTTATGTTTAATGCATTTATGTAGATTAAATTACAATAAAGAGAGAACTCTGTTTGATATTTTGGATCTACTTTATCTTATACTTTTAAAATTATTTTATCTTCATATTCTAAAACTTCTGATAATGCTTTAGCTGCAAATAATTAAGTTAGATAATCTTCGCTTTCAATAGCTTTTAGCAAATTATCAACAACAGTTTCAGTTATTTTCGATTTTTCAGTCAACAAATGATATATTATCTTAGCTGCTTATGAAGAAACACAAAAAGTCAATTCATTTTGAGCTAGAATTGCTACAAATTGATTATTTACTTTCTTTTTATTTTCTTAGGTTACATAATTTAAATATTCCGACAANCTTAATAAAGCAAAAATAAGAAGTACTTTATTTGACACTTAAATATTTTCTAAAGATTATTTCAATTTATTTATAATTTCATTAGGTAACACTTGATTATTTTCTAAAACAGTAATGAATATTTTAATTATTCGATCATCAATCTATTCATCATTAAGTATATCATTTAGATCTTCAAGGATATAATTAGGAATAGAATATTTATTAAGAGCATGATTTAATAGGATTGCTAGTAATTTTTCCCTATCTCCTTTTTTCAACTTAGTGCTTATTTGTTCTAAATTGTGCTTTGATAATCCAAAACCTTGTTTTGTTTTTTATTCGAGATATTTTAAGGCATCATTTTCATCTTATTTTTGTTCTTTCAGAACATAACCAACTCTTTCCATTTATAACACTGTAAATACTTTTTCTGACAATTCTTAATTAAGTTCAACTTATTCTAAAATTTTAAATGCCTTTTTATATTATGCTTCATCTTCATCAAGATTTGATAATAAATATTCTAAAGTTTTCTCACTCACTTTTTTACCTTTTTTAATGATTTTTTTAAGGATTTTAAAGCATATTTGTTTATTACTAAATTTTTAATCGTTATTTGCATTATCATCTGCAATATCTAATTAATTTTCTATAGCAAAAATAGTTTCCTAAGGAATAAATATTTTGTTTTTGTTTTTTGTATAATTGTAAATAATATCGAGTGCTTTTTTTATATCTTAATTTGTATTAAATAATTAGTTAAATATTTCAAATACTTAAGTATCAAATTCTTATTATTGTAAATTTGATTAATTAGAAAAAATTATCAATATTGTCTGTTCGATATTTAAAGGTTTTTCATCTTAAATAATTATTTCTTAAAAGGGAAATAAACGTGAAAGTCTTTAAATGTGTATTTCATTGATAGCAAATTTGATAGATTTTATGTTTAATGCATTTATGTAGATTAAATTACAATAAAGAGAGAACTCTGTTTGATATTTTGGATCTACTTTATCTTATACTTTTAAAATTATTTTATCTTCATATTCTAAAACTTCTGATAATGCTTTAGCTGCAAATAATTAAGTTAGATAATCTTCGCTTTCAATAGCTTTTAGCAAATTATCAACAACAGTTTCAGTTATTTTCGATTTTTCAGTCAACAAATGATATATTATCTTAGCTGCTTATGAAGAAACACAAAAAGTCAATTCATTTTGAGCTAGAATTGCTACAAATTGATTATTTACTTTCTTTTTATTTTCTTAGGTTACATAATTTAAATATTCCGACAACTCCTCTGGAATAGTAACTTCTGATTTTATTTTATCTATTACAGGTCCCAAACCAATTATAATCATCAATTAACATTGTTCATTAAATTCTTTGAACTTTTCAAGTAGAGGTCTGTAATAACAATTCTTTTAACTTTTCTGAATTGAAAATAATAATGATAATAAAAGGTTAAGTTTTTATTATTCATAACTTTCTGAAATTTTTTACATAAATAATTCTTATACTTAATAATCTAAAGCTATAGATTATTCTTTTGATAAATAAAAGACAATGAGATCAAGCAGAACCTTTGAATAATCATTTTATTTATCAACATTAGCTTTAAATGTATTGATAATTGTTTGAATTGTTTTATTATGAAACAAATCAATTAACTTTCTACTATCTTTTGCTTACTCTTTCATATACTCTATTCCTTTTTCAAAATAATAATTAATATTACTCAAACAGTCGTAAAATACCTTTTTATAATCTAATGCGCCAAATAAATAAATATTAATTTCCAATGCCAATAATCTGAATTATTCATTTTAGTCTATTAACAGATAAAATTTTTCATCTTTTTAATTGATGTTTGTTTCAAAATATAATTAAGCTTATTTTTTACCCGAGCTTTCATTTTGTTTAATAATATTGAAAAGGGTTTATAATGCAGATATTCTCATTTAATTAATATCATTATCTATTAATTACATTAGGTCTTCTTAATTAATTTATTTTTATGATAAAATGCTTTTAATTGGAATTTACAAACATTCTATATCATTTAAATTAGTTTTTGAATTTAAATTATTTTTTATTTCTTTCACTATATCTTAATCATTTTTATTTTGAAATATCATGTTCTTAACTGTTTCTATACTTTAACAAAATGGAAACAATTTTATAACTATTTATTCAGTAACTTATTAATACTCTCTATTTCCAGTTATAATCTAAAATAATTTAATAATCATTCTGTTGCATATATAAATTTAAAAAATTCCAAGCTTTTTAAACATTATTCCCCAATTACCTGGATTGAAATCCCCTAATTGTTAACCTAAGTAATCTTTATCCTAAATTGTGATTATTTAATTTTGGAGAGCCTTTTCATAAAGTAATTTTATAGAGGAATAATGACCCAACATTAAATTTAAGTCAGTTCCATCACGTTCTGCTTTTTTTTGAAGCTAAATTTCTGGGGCTATGCTGTCATTTGGATCCTTATAAAAAATTTTCATATCAAAAGATTGTGAAAATTAATTATAAAAATGATTAATATTGTAATTTTAGCAAGTTTGTTATTGTATTTACTATTTTGTAACATGTATATTTGGNTTCTTATACTTAATAATCTAAAGCTATAGATTATTCTTTTGATAAATAAAAGACAATGAGATCAAGCAGAACCTTTGAATAATCATTTTATTTATCAACATTAGCTTTAAATGTATTGATAATTGTTTGAATTGTTTTATTATGAAACAAATCAATTAACTTTCTACTATCTTTTGCTTACTCTTTCATATACTCTATTCCTTTTTCAAAATAATAATTAATATTACTCAAACAGTCGTAAAATACCTTTTTATAATCTAATGCGCCAAATAAATAAATATTAATTTCCAATGCCAATAATCTGAATTATTCATTTTAGTCTATTAACAGATAAAATTTTTCATCTTTTTAATTGATGTTTGTTTCAAAATATAATTAAGCTTATTTTTTACCCGAGCTTTCATTTTGTTTAATAATATTGAAAAGGGTTTATAATGCAGATATTCTCATTTAATTAATATCATTATCTATTAATTACATTAGGTCTTCTTAATTAATTTATTTTTATGATAAAATGCTTTTAATTGGAATTTACAAACATTCTATATCATTTAAATTAGTTTTTGAATTTAAATTATTTTTTATTTCTTTCACTATATCTTAATCATTTTTATTTTGAAATATCATGTTCTTAACTGTTTCTATACTTTAACAAAATGGAAACAATTTTATAACTATTTATTCAGTAACTTATTAATACTCTCTATTTCCAGTTATAATCTAAAATAATTTAATAATCATTCTGTTGCATATATAAATTTAAAAAATTCCAAGCTTTTTAAACATTATTCCCCAATTACCTGGATTGAAATCCCCTAATTGTTAACCTAAGTAATCTTTATCCTAAATTGTGATTATTTAATTTTGGAGAGCCTTTTCATAAAGTAATTTTATAGAGGAATAATGACCCAACATTAAATTTAAGTCAGTTCCATCACGTTCTGCTTTTTTTTGAAGCTAAATTTCTGGGGCTATGCTGTCATTTGGATCCTTATAAAAAATTTTCATATCAAAAGATTGTGAAAATTAATTATAAAAATGATTAATATTGTAATTTTAGCAAGTTTGTTATTGTATTTACTATTTTGTAACATGTATATTTGGGAAATACTACTTCTTTTATATTTTTCTTTTGATACTTTATTCATTTAGGTATGTTGGGTAGTTTAATTTTAATTATTCACCTCTTAATAATTAATTTAATTATTGTAAAGCTCTGGAATCAATATTATTGCTCTATAAAATAATATTTAATTGATTCTAATTAATAAGATCTTTTTATTTTTCCATTAATTCACATATTGCTAGCACAATTTATGATTTGATTTATTTATCATGATTTTTTCCTAAAATAACGATTAGTTTATCAACATCAATTTTATATCCATTTTTTATTTAAAATTTCAGTATAACACAAAATGATAACTTAATTTCATTTTCATCTTAATCTTTAAATTCATTTTCACAATCTTTAAATTCATTTTCACAATCTTTTTGCAATTCCTCACAAATATGATCAACTATGTCTTTGTTAATAAGAAATTTTTGGGAAATATGTCTCAATTCTTTGTGAATATCTTTGATACTGTAATTTTTCTTATAATATTCGTTTAACAAATCCAAAACGTCTTCTTTTTTAAAGTTTTTATACTTATCCTTCAAATTGGTATATTCTCTCTTCTTAGCTATTTCATTGACCTCTTCTGTTTTTTTTAACTTTTTATAAGCCTAATTAATCATAAAATAATTTATAAAGAGAGTAGTATTTTTTTAATTCAAAATATCATCAAATTCTATTATTTTTATATATCATATAAATTTTTTATAATCATCATATATTATTATTTTTTGTTTGCCTTATGAGCTTCTAATTCGTCTAATTAAAGTATTTTTCCATTTAAAAAGTTTATATATTAGTAATTATTCATCTAAAAGTCACTCTTTATGAAAATTAAAATAATAATAATTCAATCAATATAATTTACTAATAAATATTAGAATCAATTTTTGATTAAAAATAATATAAAATGAAGATGAAATCAATAAATAATAAGAAATAAATTATCGTTTACGATGAAATATATTTCATTCATGATAAAGTTGTCTATGGTATTTTATAAATTCATTAAAGACGATGAAATCTTCTATTTTTAATTTAATAAGATTCTAAATCCATATATAGTTGATGATATTAATAATTAACTTCCATGATATTAGTTTAACAACATTTGATTAACAATTATTAATTAATAGAATCTCATTTATTATTCGAATCTAAATAAATAAGAACAAAATCTGGTTAGCTATTAGACAACAAGTTAAAAAATTAAAAACAAATTTCTATATAATTATTAAAACAAAAAAAATAAATGAAATAAAAAAGGAATAAATTTAAATGAAATCAAAAGAAGAAGAAATTGCAAATGTTGATTTATTGATAGTAAATCAACGAATAGCATAAAAATTTTAAAATTTATTTGTTTTTATATATATATAAGTTGACAATGTTTTTTTAGTATCTAATAGAAATAATTAAAAGAATTCAATGTAGAAATGATTTGAAATAATAAAAAATAAGAATAATATATACAAATTATAATAAAATTAATTTATGGAGAGTTAAGATAATAAACATAAAAAAAAACATGATGAAAGTGAGAAATAGAAAGAATTAAAGAAAATTTAAAAGATGCAACAAAAAGCATAGGCTTTGTTAAGAGAAGAGAAGCCTTAGATAAAAAAAGAAAAAAAAATTAATAAAAAAGATAAAAGTAAAATAAACAGAGAAAAAGTGATAAAAGCCTTTAAATCATTTATTAAGATATTCTAAGATGATTTGGAGGAATTCTTTGATCTTTTTTCTTAATTAGATGATGGATGTGTTATTGAGACTGGGAATATAGAAAATAAAAATATTAAAGAAAAACTTGATAAATTATTGAATAAACTTAAACTAAAAAATTAAGGGAATGAACAAGCACCAATATTTAAGAAGATTGATAAAAATATAAAATTAGAGCACTATGTAAGAGGTTTATATGATGAAGTTGTAAAAGGAATTAAGTATTAAGAACCAGAATCAGATAATTCAAATATTAGTAGGAGTTAATCATCTGATAAAATGGACGAACTCAATAAGAATACAAGAGAACTTTAGCCTTAAAAATAATAAATAACAAAATCTGATGAAAAATCAGAAATGGATTTATTTTTGTAAGAAAACTTTTCATAAGGTGGAGACCGAAAATTAACTAATTATTTGAATGATAGAAAGAAAGTTTAAACTTAACCAATATAATAATAATAATAGAAGAGTGGTATAAATTTCTATTAAAATTATTAGATGGTTTATATTTGGGTGAAGTAACTTAAAAATAGAGAAATCCTGAAGAAATAAAAGATTTCATGAGATGGTATGATTAGGAATTTAGATCTAAGAGTCTTGCAGAAGAACATCGAGAAAAATTAGAGAGAGAGAGATTAGAAAAACAACTTAAGGGAGGAGTATAATAAAATTAAAAATGTAAATTTTTGAATTATGATTTAAAGAACAAAATGTTCGTAAGGAGTTTAATAGAGATACGGATATGAATATGAATACATAGACAAGTTAAGAGGTACTTGCAAGAATTAGATAATCTGGATCATTAAATTAGAAGTTTTCATCTGGACATTTGTAAAATTAATTCATATGATGATTATTAAATTATATGTATTATTTAGCAACTCCAACAAGTATAGAGAAATACACTTAAAAAAATATATTCTAAGATCCTATAATGGATATGTTGAAGAATAAAAGTCCAATGTCTGATAGAGACATGGTGGGACCAAAGTTTTCATTAAAGAAATTATCAGAGATGAAAACTTAATCATGTGAGCAGAGTTAGATTCAGAATATTGAACCGTCAAGATTTGAGAAATTCTATCAATCTATTAAACCTTAATAGGGATAAATGAAGCTTGAAAATAAAATACAATAAAAGAGAGTATTTGTAGAACCAAAGAAGAAGAAATCAAATTTGATTTAACCAGAATTAATGAGTAAGTAGGATATAATATATTAAATGAAAATGATGAAACAAAGAAATAGAATTCGTTAAGAATAAAAATACGATTTAATTGACAGTATGAAAAAGGAAGTTAAAATGGTAGTTACAAAAGATGAAAGAATTTTAAGTAAATTTTAATAGTTAGAGCAAAATAGAATTGACACATCTCTAATATTAGGTAATAGAACAGGTAGAAGCTTTGATAAAACATTATACTAAAGATCAAATAATTTTAGATAAAAATATGAATTGAATCTGGCTTTGAATGATCATTTATTATAAGATAAGAGAATTTGGTATCGTTAAATTAGAAAATAGGGTGATAGCCTTCATGAGAATAGAAATCTATATTCAATTGATGAAAAATCAAATTATATGGATTCAACATAAGTTGTTGCAGACATATATACTAATTTCACTACTCATTATACTCCAAAATAGCAATTCACAGAAATCATAAAAGTCAATTAAAAAATTAGTTAACCCTTATACAGTAAGAAGACTTAAGATAATTTAAAATAAAGATTATAAGAAGTAAACCCCGATTCTCCTCTGTTGTCATTCGATCACAAATAAGAAATTTCATTGTAGGGAATTAGCAAATTTGATAGAGAATTTGAAAGCGTATTATAGGAAGATGATAATTAATTGTATCATTTAGCTGAGAATTGCGATAATAAATAAGATCAAAAAGAGGATGTTATAATTGCTAATTGGAATCTAAAGAAAAAAGGCTAAACATTTTATCCTAAGTTAATAAAGTATGTTATATGAATTTAACTCTATCATTTTTATAATAAAACATTTGTTTATTATAATGTATGATTTTTTTAGCTCTCTATTAATATATTAATAAAATTTACCTAATCTTTTGTAAAAATTGAAAATTATTAAGTCTCGCTAATCTTATTTTATCTGATTTGAACGATAATCAAAATAAGAAATTTCCTATATGTTCTCTATTTTATCAAGATATGAAAACGTTATCTGAATTTTAATTTTCACATATATTTCCTAAATTTATTGCTGATTGATACTCAAAAATTCTCATTAATGGATTTATTATCTTGATTAATAATCTTATATAGATCATAATTGTTTCTATTTTTCATATATACTCTTTTTAACTAAATGAGATAGGTTAACTATTTAGCATTGTTTAATTAGCATTTCATTTAAATCCTCAAAATCATTTCCAAACCCAGAAATACTTAATTTTTCAAGTCTTTTTAAAGTTCTTAAAGGAAGTTATTTCATTTAAATTAAATAAGTTGTTTTTAGTAATTGATTAAATTATTACAGAATAGATTAGGAAGACTATGGCTATTTTTTAAATTGATGACTGAAAATAGGGTTGGCATGTTAAATAGAAGTAATTTGTGTAAAGATAAGTTGAAAATTCGGTGATATATATATAATATATCGATTAATCTTTTTAGATCAAATTTAATTGTAAAAAACATAAATGAATGCACACATATTAAATAAAAAGATGAACGCTTCCAATTATATTATCAAATAGTAAGAGACTAAAGAATTCATTATATTGTTAAAGATTCTAATGAGATCATAACAATGTCTATTGATTTCATAATAAATATAATTATTAATTAGTTAATCAACGTATTAAATCCAATCATTCTTCTAACCAATTTACTCTCCTACCCTAATCCCATATTCCATTCTTCATCTTTCCATCAGGTAATACATATTTACCTTTTCCATGTTATTTCCCATCTTACCAATCACCATCATAATATCTTCCATCTGGCCAAGTATATTTTCCACATCCTTACTTTTTATCATCTACATATTATCCTTCATATGATCTTCCATCTGCCCACTAATAATATCCAACTCCATGCATTTTGTTATCTTTCCACTATCCTTTATAAACTCTCCCATCTGACCAATAATACTCTCCCTTATTATAATCTAATATCTATACATAACCATTTATTCTATTATCAATCCAATCTCCTTCATAATAACTACCATCTGGCCAAATATATTTACCTTTTCCCTACTTCCTTCCTTCTATATAATCTCCCTTATAACTAGATTTATCAATCCCTAAATTATTAATTTTATTATTTACATCTCTCTTCACCCTTACCATGTTATAAATCATTCTTCCAATAACCTTCATACACTGCTCCATTACTTTACTTATATATTCCATATCCATTAGCTCTATCATCTGCCCATTCTCCTATATATGAATCACCATCCACATGATAAAATTACCCTTTCCCACAAGCTTTATTATCAACCCATTCACCATCGTATTTAGCACTATCTGGCCATATCTATACTCCTCTCCCATCTCTTTTATTACCTATCCATTCACCTTCATATGTTGCTCCACTCTTAAATACAAATATAGGACGTCTTTCTCTTGTTTTTTAATTGTTTTAACTATTTACTATTATTCTATTACTACATCTCTATTACCTCCAAATTCTTCACTATTGAAATATTAAACATTCTTTCTTTTGTCTTTACTTGCTATTGTTACTTAATCACACTACTATTCTTAATTCTTCTCCTCCTCTTTTTAATTCTTCTCAGATAAAGATTTCTTCACCTCTTAATAACTCTACCTAGCCTTATGACCCTTCCACATTTTTTATATCACAACTGCCTTTTAATTCAAATTCTTATTTCCCTTCTTATCCTTCTCTTGATCTTCCACAAACACTGAAAACTTTGCATTCTTCTATTCTGTTGGAACAAACTTCATCTATTTCAAATCATTCTATTCATTCCGCTATTCATTACCACATCCAATTAACTACTATTTTATGACTGCTATGACACTGATGATAACCCTCTTCTTTAACTATCAGACTTTTTTGTCACCTCTACTTCATTTATTATCTCCTATCTGTCTTTCTAACATTAATTGCAATTAGAACAATTTCCTCCCATTTTATTTATTATTTTTATATTTAGATCTCTTTACTCTCTATCTTATTACTCTCTCATTCCATACATAAAGATCATTAATATATATCAATCTTTCATATATATATTTTATCAGAAACTCCAACCTGATATCAAACATAAAATTAATTCCTCTTATAATAAATTTTTGGATTTAAGAATTACTCTAAAATATGGGAAACCTTTGTAATAAAGAACCTGCTGTTGCTGGAATCGTTGACAATGTTCCTGCCTATTACAATAGAGGCATTAACTTTAGATCTAATTACATTACTATTGATAATAGATAACTCTTTACTGGCATGAGGTTTATACTATTCTAACTATACCTATAGATTCTAATGTGTAGAATATGCAAGAAGATATCTAATACTTACCAAAGGTGTACTCTTTGGTGATGTTAACTGTGCTTATCATATTTTTGATCTCCACACTGTTACCGATGTTCTTACTTAATAACAGAGATAGTTTCAATCCATTCCTCAAGGCAGTCCTATCCCACCATAAAAAGGAGATCTTGTCATCTATTAAAAAAGTTCAAAATAATGGTGGGGACATGTTGCTGTTGTTACCAATGTTGATGGAAATCTTGTTGATCTAGCTGAATAAAATTATGATGAAGATTGGGATCATTGTAACTATGCAAGATAAGTTCTCTTAAAAAAAGAAGCCAACAATTACTTTCTTACAAACATCAGACAATATAAACCCCATTCTTGGGATTTGAATGAAAATATTATTGGATGGAAAAGAGTTATTTGAAATTTATTATAGCCTTTTTATTTGTTAATTAAAAATATGTAATTGCAAAAATCACTTAAATTATGGCAACTATTATCTGCAAATAGGGCAGTTGTTTTATAAAATATTTATTCTTGATTAAATGTAGAGCTTCATACATTTTAAATGAAATGTGTGTTTACATGGAGTTTAGATAAGTTTTTGTTCTATTAAAGTGTTTGACAATGAATCATTTATATTTTGATTTGATTTGAGAGGATTGAGGCAAATTGAACATGCTTCTAAATCTTCTATAACTATGTCGTCATATTTAAAATAATTATCATCTAAATATTCTTCTACATCCTCTTAAAAAATAATTTAATCATCTATCTGTTCTATAGGCTGAACTATTCTAGAATCCCTACATATTATAGATCTTGAGCCATATCTTTTTTAAATTATTAAAAGAACAATTGATGTCAAATAAATCATTAAATATAATACCACCATTAAGTATTTTGGTTCAAAACTCATTAAATTTCTTGAGCAACCTCTCATATAAAACTAACTATTAATCTAATATAAATACAAAATAAAATATCTTTGATGAAAAATGTCCAAAAATATAAATTAAACTAAATCTCTCTCTAATATTTAATTTTATATTCCTAATTATAATTGGATATAGCATAAATGCTGATCCGTAAATCGAAAAATAGAAAAATTCTTCATAACAATATATGCTCAAATTAATCAGTAAAACTTTTTATTAATGATATATATACATATTATCAAGATAAAACTTATAAAGTGCCAAAAATCTTAACAAGAAGGTAGAAATGAAAATTTTACATTTATTTTCCAAGCTTTCCAAGTTGCATATATACATTATAAAGTTGATCCCACTTAAAATATTATCGGAGCTATATAAAACGAACGTAAGTTCTAGTTAATTTAATAAAACCTTACTTCATTCATAGTCATAGAAATTAAGATCAAAATAGTAATCTCATTTTAATATACAAAGTTTAATAGATTAGCTATAAAAGATATCTAGAATGAATTAATAATTGCATCTTACATCCTATCCAACTATCACATCAACTTTTACTAATATTGTTGTAGCTACTATTTAAATTAGTGATAAAACTATTGATATTATCATAAATGTCAAAGTATTTCTATATTCTTACTCTTATCCTGATGCAACTGAAAGAGACATATCGAAATAACATAAATTCAATTCATCATTATTTTTGCTTTATAGAGATATTATGATTTAAGTGTTTTTTATATCGGAAAATGTATTTTCTTAAATGACTTATACTAGAAACTTTCCTTAGCAAGGAAATTAATAGTTATAGAGATTGAAAATTGTTCCAAATTGCAAATTTACATTTTGTTCATCTGACCAACTTCTAAGAAATAAAAATAATTTATTAATACTTTGTAAGATTAGTGTAATTTGAGAGTCGAAATGTTGCATAAACTTGTTTATTTTCATGATACTTTGGATTCAGAAAACAAATTTAAAGATTTTTATTGAAATCAAATGTTACTTCCGCTTATCCTTCTTAATAATCTAGATAATGGAATTAATCCATGGAATTTATTCTCGATTACCAAGTTCCAATAAATTTCTAATCGATTAAGAATTTGATCATTTCCTTCTCTGAAACTTAATTTAAGCATTTTCCTACAACTAAAATAGTTGTAATAAATAAAACACTAAATATACTCTACATAAACTCTACAAGTTAATATTTAATTAAATATTTTTTTTCTAATTAATAAAACTTTATATTACCACATTTAATTTAATTTCTGAAAAAATGATAAACTTCCATTAAATTAAAAATATTTAAAGTTTTATTTTGTAAGATTTTAGAATAGATATTGATTTCAGTTTTAAGAGATTTGCAAGTCAATCATATTAATATTCTACAAAATTAATAATTAAGATTTATTAAATATAATATTCATAAACGACTTCCAAGAAATAAATTTAATTTAGTTACAATATATTGGAATTAGATATTTTTTATGGATTTAATGAAAATTTAGTTATATAAGTACTTTATTTTTTTTTATAATCAGAGTAAATATATCTAATTATTTATTCTCCAAGCCTTTTTTAGGAGGGTAAATGGAATTGTTTCCGTTTAAATAGATTGCAATTGATGACTAAAGAATATAAATTTTAAATTTCTTCAACATGAAGAAAACATTTCTTCATAAAAGATTTGTCTTTATTACAAGCATTAGTTTTGTTAGGAAATTTTATTTTTTTCTCAAAGTTATAGAAGAATTATTTATTCCCTTGAATGAAATTAGTTGGATTAGAATTTTACAAGTGAAAATTTAATTTTTTAAACTAGTTATTCTTTAAGTCTTGCCAATTACTTTTATGGATTTAATTTCAAAAATGGGAAATTTAACACTAACTTTTAGCCACTTAAATTAAAAAAATTATCAATAAAATTATTTAAAGATATTTTAAGTTTATATTACAATTTCTTACAGATAAAATNATGAATTAATAATTGCATCTTACATCCTATCCAACTATCACATCAACTTTTACTAATATTGTTGTAGCTACTATTTAAATTAGTGATAAAACTATTGATATTATCATAAATGTCAAAGTATTTCTATATTCTTACTCTTATCCTGATGCAACTGAAAGAGACATATCGAAATAACATAAATTCAATTCATCATTATTTTTGCTTTATAGAGATATTATGATTTAAGTGTTTTTTATATCGGAAAATGTATTTTCTTAAATGACTTATACTAGAAACTTTCCTTAGCAAGGAAATTAATAGTTATAGAGATTGAAAATTGTTCCAAATTGCAAATTTACATTTTGTTCATCTGACCAACTTCTAAGAAATAAAAATAATTTATTAATACTTTGTAAGATTAGTGTAATTTGAGAGTCGAAATGTTGCATAAACTTGTTTATTTTCATGATACTTTGGATTCAGAAAACAAATTTAAAGATTTTTATTGAAATCAAATGTTACTTCCGCTTATCCTTCTTAATAATCTAGATAATGGAATTAATCCATGGAATTTATTCTCGATTACCAAGTTCCAATAAATTTCTAATCGATTAAGAATTTGATCATTTCCTTCTCTGAAACTTAATTTAAGCATTTTCCTACAACTAAAATAGTTGTAATAAATAAAACACTAAATATACTCTACATAAACTCTACAAGTTAATATTTAATTAAATATTTTTTTTCTAATTAATAAAACTTTATATTACCACATTTAATTTAATTTCTGAAAAAATGATAAACTTCCATTAAATTAAAAATATTTAAAGTTTTATTTTGTAAGATTTTAGAATAGATATTGATTTCAGTTTTAAGAGATTTGCAAGTCAATCATATTAATATTCTACAAAATTAATAATTAAGATTTATTAAATATAATATTCATAAACGACTTCCAAGAAATAAATTTAATTTAGTTACAATATATTGGAATTAGATATTTTTTATGGATTTAATGAAAATTTAGTTATATAAGTACTTTATTTTTTTTTATAATCAGAGTAAATATATCTAATTATTTATTCTCCAAGCCTTTTTTAGGAGGGTAAATGGAATTGTTTCCGTTTAAATAGATTGCAATTGATGACTAAAGAATATAAATTTTAAATTTCTTCAACATGAAGAAAACATTTCTTCATAAAAGATTTGTCTTTATTACAAGCATTAGTTTTGTTAGGAAATTTTATTTTTTTCTCAAAGTTATAGAAGAATTATTTATTCCCTTGAATGAAATTAGTTGGATTAGAATTTTACAAGTGAAAATTTAATTTTTTAAACTAGTTATTCTTTAAGTCTTGCCAATTACTTTTATGGATTTAATTTCAAAAATGGGAAATTTAACACTAACTTTTAGCCACTTAAATTAAAAAAATTATCAATAAAATTATTTAAAGATATTTTAAGTTTATATTACAATTTCTTACAGATAAAATGATCCAAATTTTTCATCTATTTCAAATAATTTTCGAAAAATCACTTTAATAATTCAAAATATTAACCTAAAAAAAATGTAATAACAATTCAATAATCGAAAGCAACTTCAATAAATTTAAGAATTAAAAATTATAAAAGCTATTAGTTGCAGCACGTAAATGTGGTTCAATAATAACTCAAATTAATTGATCCTTCTTATTAAGAATTAAATATGAGCATTTTAGAATCTAGATGTTATTTGAAATATAAATAAAATAAAAATGAACATTATTTCTTATCTGATCTTTTCTAAAATCTTCTTTTCAAATAAAATTTAATCTACCAATTTTACATCGATCCAATAAATTATACAAATTTTTATCATTAAACAACTAGTCTTAAATTTTTCAATAATTACCTTAAATTTTAATGAATAAAACGAATAATAAAAATTATTTATGTAAAAAATTTCAGAAAGTTATGAATAATAAAAACTTAACCTTTTATTATCATTATTATTTTCAATTCAGAAAAGTTAAAAGAATTGTTATTACAGACCTCTACTTGAAAAGTTCAAAGAATTTAATGAACAATGTTAATTGATGATTATAATTGGTTTGGGACCTGTAATAGATAAAATAAAATCAGAAGTTACTATTCCAGAGGAGTTGTCGGAATATTTAAATTATGTAACCTAAGAAAATAAAAAGAAAGTAAATAATCAATTTGTAGCAATTCTAGCTCAAAATGAATTGACTTTTTGTGTTTCTTCATAAGCAGCTAAGATAATATATCATTTGTTGACTGAAAAATCGAAAATAACTGAAACTGTTGTTGATAATTTGCTAAAAGCTATTGAAAGCGAAGATTATCTAACTTAATTATTTGCAGCTAAAGCATTATCAGAAGTTTTAGAATATGAAGATAAAATAATTTTAAAAGTATAAGATAAAGTAGATCCAAAATATCAAACAGAGTTCTCTCTTTATTGTAATTTAATCTACATAAATGCATTAAACATAAAATCTATCAAATTTGCTATCAATGAAATACACATTTAAAGACTTTCACGTTTATTTCCCTTTTAAGAAATAATTATTTAAGATGAAAAACCTTTAAATATCGAACAGACAATATTGATAATTTTTTCTAATTAATCAAATTTACAATAATAAGAATTTGATACTTAAGTATTTGAAATATTTAACTAATTATTTAATACAAATTAAGATATAAAAAAAGCACTCGATATTATTTACAATTATACAAAAAACAAAAACAAAATATTTATTCCTTAGGAAACTATTTTTGCTATAGAAAATTAATTAGATATTGCAGATGATAATGCAAATAACGATTAAAAATTTAGTAATAAACAAATATGCTTTAAAATCCTTAAAAAAATCATTAAAAAAGGTAAAAAAGTGAGTGAGAAAACTTTAGAATATTTATTATCAAATCTTGATGAAGATGAAGCATAATATAAAAAGGCATATAAAATTTTAGAATAAGTTGAACTTAATTAAGAATTGTCAGAAAAAGTATTTACAGTGTTATAAATGGAAAGAGTTGGTTATGTTCTGAAAGAACAAAAATAAGATGAAAATGANATCATTATTATTTTCAATTCAGAAAAGTTAAAAGAATTGTTATTACAGACCTCTACTTGAAAAGTTCAAAGAATTTAATGAACAATGTTAATTGATGATTATAATTGGTTTGGGACCTGTAATAGATAAAATAAAATCAGAAGTTACTATTCCAGAGGAGTTGTCGGAATATTTAAATTATGTAACCTAAGAAAATAAAAAGAAAGTAAATAATCAATTTGTAGCAATTCTAGCTCAAAATGAATTGACTTTTTGTGTTTCTTCATAAGCAGCTAAGATAATATATCATTTGTTGACTGAAAAATCGAAAATAACTGAAACTGTTGTTGATAATTTGCTAAAAGCTATTGAAAGCGAAGATTATCTAACTTAATTATTTGCAGCTAAAGCATTATCAGAAGTTTTAGAATATGAAGATAAAATACTTTTAAAAGTATAAGATAAAGTAGATCCAAAATATCAAACAGAGTTCTCTCTTTATTGTAATTTAATCTACATAAATGCATTAAACATAAAATCTATCAAATTTGCTATCAATGAAATACACATTTAAAGACTTTCACGTTTATTTCCCTTTTAAGAAATAATTATTTAAGATGAAAAACCTTTAAATATCGAACAGACAATATTGATAATTTTTTCTAATTAATCAAATTTACAATAATAAGAATTTGATACTTAAGTATTTGAAATATTTAACTAATTATTTAATACAAATTAAGATATAAAAAAAGCACTCGATATTATTTACAATTACACAAAAAACAAAAACAAAATATTTATTCCTTAGGAAACTATTTTTGCTATAGAAAATTAATTAGATATTGCAGATGATAATGCAAATAACGATTAAAAATTTAGTAATAAACAAATATGCTTTAAAATCCTTAAAAAAATCATTAAAAAAGGTAAAAAAGTGAGTGAGAAAACTTTAGAATATTTATTATCAAATCTTGATGAAGATGAAGCATAATATAAAAAGGCATATAAAATTTTAGAATAAGTTGAACTTAATTAAGAATTGTCAGAAAAAGTATTTACAGTGTTATAAATGGAAAGAGTTGGTTATGTTCTGAAAGAACAAAAATAAGATGAAAATGACATTAATCCTCTTGTACCATTTGTTATCAAAAGTTGCCAAATTAGGTTGGTTATAAAATCAAATAATTGAAAAATTTTTATAAATAACTGAAAACTTAGTTGATATTACCAAAATAAAATTATAGGACTTTGTACCAAATTAACAATCTAAAATTAATAATGAATATTAAGGATAAATAACTTCATGTTGACCATTCAGAAAAAATGAATAAAAATCAATAAAAATGATTATGATAATGATATTAAAATAAATTATTCAGAAAAAAAACAAATAATATAAAATAATTGCCTTCTTTTCTTGAAATCTACTTGTTCAATATTTAAGCATAGTTTGGAGTAAGATTAAATTTTTTTAAATCTTATTTTCTCATTAAATTTTATATTATATTATAAAAAATCATTTATGATTAAATAGATATTTAATATATAAATAATAATATTAGTCAATTTTATTCATGATTTCCAACTTGTGCTTCTATATTAGTGATTCTCAATTATAATTCATTTAATTTAATTGCTAAAGCAGTTTTTTCACCTTTGAGATGAGTAAGTTGTGTTTGAATTCTTGAATTTTCTGCCAATTAATATCCAACTTCTCTCTTCATTTCATCATCTAAATGACTTATATTGTATTTGATAATACATTAATTCATTTTAAAGTGTTTTAAGCATATCTTCTGTTTTATTAGATAATATTGATTCGAATTCATCTTTTAGTTATTTTAAAGATTGATATTCTTTTCTGTGCATTTCAACAGAATCAGCAACTTCATACATTAGTGATTCTAATGAACAGATTTTACCTTTTAAAGAAGCATTGTTTTATGAATTTTCAATTGAATTAGAAGTAATGCTAAATGAACTAAAATGTGTTTTTTACATTTTAATATATATTGAAAATAATCATCATTTCTTTTTTAATGATTTCATATACTTAATAAAATACTTTTCTCTTATGATTCCATTCAAAATCACAAATTTTAATCATACTTGATAATTATTCATCTCTTAAATTCCAAATCTAATTATCTTAAATCATTAATTACAATTTACCCTAACTAAATTTAAAGGGACATTAACTTTGTATATTAGATCAATCTAATTGAACATATACAAAAATTATTATAAGTATCACATAGATCTTACAAATTTTTTATATTCCATTATATCATTTTCGTACTATTTTTAGTTAATATAGTGCAATCAATAATTCTTTTTAACATTTGGATTAAAGTTTGGTTGTAGTGATAGAATTGACTCTATATTAAATTCAAAAAATATGTAAAAGAAAGGTGAAGTTAAATTTGGAGTAAAAATTGTCTTTTATTATTTTATTGATATTATAATTAAATTATATTATTGATAAAATTATTCATTATTCTTATTTCAAATTCATTAATTTAGATTCATCTCCTAAATCAAAATCTTATAAACTGAAATCACATTTATTTTATCTTCCCATTTCTGAAGTTACACTCTTGGTTGAGGTGATAAATTTCATAAACTTATTTTGTCTATCTTTCCTCAAAGCTGGTTACTTAGACTCTTCAATTTATTTGATTAGTTCATATTTAAGGAAACGAGACTCTTTATTAAATTATGGTATATTACACTCTTTTTATCACAATTCATAATTGTAATACTCTTTATATTGAGTCGATTATTGGATTCCTCAATGAAACTAAGGAAGTATTATAATATGATACTCAATAACTGATCTGACAAGGACTTCAGAACTAAAAGATCTACTCTATTTAATTGGACAATCACAAATCAAAATATCTTTGTACTGATCATCATTTAATTATGTCAAACTATTTATATTAATATTATTATTATATTACCATTCTTTGAATCCATTATAATATTAAAACAAATCTTTTTCTGACTAAACAAATTATATAATTTTATACTTCAAAGGCTCTCACTCTATAGAACGTAATGCATTTGTAGTTATTCATTTCTAGATTTTAAGTAAACACTTATTCAAAACCAACTACAAATTTATGATAATCTTTATTACTTTTGCACAGAGTATCATAAACCTATTAAGTATGAGCTGGTTATAAAGGTATTTTCTCAGGATTTGTGTATAAACAGACTTGAATTAGAGATATTTTAATTACTTACACTCTCACCTGATTCTTTTGATATATCACCTAATTTGACTGTTATTTTCACATTTAAATATTCTCGATATATAACTAATTCATTGTTTAAAATATGATATTCCTTATCTCTAGATAGACAGCACATTCCTTCTTAATTACCCATATGATATTATATAATAAATAATAAACACAATATATACAAATTTCATTAGTTAAAATGAATTCTTCTACCCCATTCAAAACTGTCCATAAGATTTTATAATTGTTATTCTGTAATTTCAGTACCCATTTGATTAGACATAGTTCTTTCGCCTGTCATAATATCTTAAGCAAGTATCATATCATCCGAACATACATCAACATGATTATATTAATCAAACCATGGATGTAAGGGTATTTCTAATAAACAGAATGAATACCTTCTGCAGATAATCTCTAATGAGGATGAGGTTTAAGCAATCTTCTAATTAGATCTTTTTAGAGTTGATTTAACTTAAGAAATTCTTGTGAATATTGAAATTAAGGATCTAGTGATGTAATTTACTCTATAGTTTCACTAATAGTTTGAGCATAAAATGGTAAGGTTGAACAAAGCATATAGTAGAGAATGATTCCTATAGACCAGATGTCGACTCAATATAAATATTATAGATATACCTTTTTCATCATAACCTCCACCTAAAAAGACTTCTGGAGCTTAATATAAGATGGTTCCAGTAGCAGTCCACATTTCAGTGAAGGTGTCTTTGTATTTGAATCTTTTTGACACACCAAAATCAATTAACTTTATCTAAATGCTTGGTTCAGTTTATATTAGAATGTTTTCTGGTTTTAAATCTCTATGTGAGATTCCTCTTGAATGAATTTATCCAATAACCTAAGCCAACTATTTAATAGTGTCCTTTTTCTATCTTAAAGATAGGTTGCGCTACACTTACTCTAAATTAGGAATATTGCATAATTCTATCACTTGATAATGATGTTTTGTTTATTAGTCAATGAATAGATCATAAGTTCTGCAAACTTAAGGAATATCTTATAACTATCTTTATAAATTAAATGTATGTATGATAGTATTGACAATCTCGGGATCATCTGTTCTGAAGCATTTTACTGCATAATTTTATATGGGTTTAGGTATTAACGATTTTGTACTATTTTATTTAGGTATTTTATAACATTTTCTAACAACTGAATGTGCTCCTTCACCTGTAAATATATTTTAATATACAAGTACCTATTTATTCCTATAATACATATGCATCTTTAAATCTTTAAGTTAATTATACTTACTCCTATTGGATAATTACATTTTCAATATCAACAGATCTTCTTATTCTAAATCCTTATTTACCAAATAATTGAGTCTTTAGTTAATTTCTAATATTTTCCTTATGCATATTAATAAGAGTGAGCATATATATATATGATATCCAATTAAATTAATTATGAATCGTATTACAAATGGTGTTATTGGATTGGCATTAAAAAACTGTTCATTCTTTAGTACAGCCAAGAAGGCTAAAATGGAATTGACAGTCAGAACTCCATACAAAACAATTCTTGATAAATTTGAAGGTTTTTCAAGAATAGTAGCAAAGACTAATGAAGTAATTAATGTATAAATGTAAATTAGGCTGCACTTATCATATAAAATCGTACTCCTGCTGCAGTTTATATATTACCACCAGGACCTTTGAAAATAAAATTCACTTAAGATGTCAAAGGAATAACTGGAGATTTCTTACATTTAGGAGGATATGTATTTGTTAATCCGTAATTAATTATGATTAATAAATTATAGAGATAACTCTTGCGAAATTAATTTATTAGATGTAGTTGATAGAAAAGAAGCAAAAGTAGATTAATTTGATAAAGCCGATGTAAAAGATGCAGATACAGTTGCAGGAAGATATGCAGGTAAAATAAGAAGAGCTGCATAACGTACATTTATTAAAAAAGCAACAGCATGATTTATATATAATACATAAATAATAATTTAATGAATTATTTCAATTCTTACATTTTGTAATTCTAATATATCTATTATATATATTACGTCTTATTAAATATTATTCATTCTAATTATATCATTCATTTTCTTACTAATATTATAATACAAATTAACAATAATGTATAAAATTAAGAAGTTATTATAAAATATTTGTATGGTTTTGCATAAGAATGGCTAAAATCTATTTGCACATTTTTAAAATAGTATATTCATTAATTTTTAAGGATACATGGATTCATTCTAATAATTTAATTAATTAGTTAATTTGATTATTCTAGACATGAATGGTAAAAACCTAAAACATCTTATCCAAATAGTTTAACTAAAAAGCATATATATGTCTTAAGTTAATAATTTATAGTTGATTTAATCAAGTTATTTTTATGGCTTTAAAAAATGAACTTAATCTAATAAACTTATTAAAAAGATTCTATTATTTATTCATTCAATTAAGCAAATACTGAAAATAATTACATTCGTGAAGTTAGTACAGACTTTGCCTAAGCTATCAAACATAGAATTTGTGATTGCAAAATGATAACTGTCGCTTTTGTCAATTTTGACAAAACTTTATATTATTCTACATTATAATTTTCTACTCAATAATAATAATAAATTCAACTTGAGTAGATTCCTGATTTGAATGATGAATTTTCACAATCAATTTTATAGTCTTGGGCTTGAATTTGTTTATGATATATTTATATATTTTTTTAAAAAACGAATATTAATGATATTTTGGAATAGATTAATGTCATGGATACCTGCCATAATTCTACTAGGAATCTTAATATTTTTGTATAGTATATATTTTCTGGTATTTTTATATGGAATAATATTAGTACAACATTAAACCAAATTTTGAGGGATTAAATTTGGAAATAGTGATTTAACACTTCTTAATCTTAATGTTCCTTATATCATTGCTTCGTGCAATGGTTATATAACCTGGTGTAATAAGCAAAGTAATTTACAAAATTTAATATTGAGGAACTTATTGAATAAACTTGGATCTAATGGGATGAATATTAATAGTAAGAGAAAGAGAGGGAGACAGAATAAAGATAAAGAAGAAGTTTAAAATCAGCTAAGACATTTAAGACAGAAAATGATGAAGATAGAAGTGTAGTAAATATGGATGCAGAAGATGATGATTAAAATATAAAAAAGGAATATTATAAGAAAAGAAATGAAAATAGATTTTGTAAGAAATGTTTCATTCCAAAACCTTTAAGAACACATCATTGTTCTTAATGCAGATGTTGTTGGTAAAGAATGGATCATCATTGTTAATGGATAAATAATTGTGTAGCACAAGATAATTATAAAATATTCATTTCAATGATCTTTTATGCTAGTAATTATTAATAAAATAACAGTAGAGGCTGTCTTTTAGTTTGGGTGTCAATATCTTAATATACAGTATTTTTGAATGTGATTGAGACAGATGTACCAGATCTTATATTGTTTATAATAGTATTACATTACTATTTCACTCTTTTGATTACAGTCCTAATCACAGGATTCTTTATATTCCATTTATATTTGATATCATAAAATAAAACTACACTTGAGTAGTTAGAAGACAAACCAGATGTAATCTAACATTATTATTTTAGAGATTAAATTATAATTAGGGAATTTGGTAAAATTTCAAATCCATAATGGGACCTAATATTCTATTATGGTTTTTACCAGTTTAATGATATATCATCATATCATCAAAACAAATTTAAATCAAAAAATATATTAATTTAATCATTATTGTCATCTTTATGTATAAAATCCTAAGTCCTTTTCTTACTATTTAATCAGCTTTGTAAGATTCTATTTTATTTCTAATCTTCTTGATGTCATTGGAGATCTATCTAAAGATTATTTTGATAATGATTTTAATAAAATTGAAGCAGAACAAGTACTTATTCCTTTCCCTTTCAAATTTGAAGAACTTGCAATAGAATTAATTGATATTTATTATTTATTCTTACTCTATTTTTAATTTAATAATATACTATACCTAATTAACATCTAATTTCCTTTTATCTTATTACTCTTTTTTTTCTTTCCATTATCTTTCTGTTTAACAATATCTCTATTATAAAATTTAATCATATTAGTTCAATAATTATTGATAATTTATTTTATTATCAGAAATTTATGGAATTTTTAATTTAGGTATTATAACATTTTTATTTTTAGATTAATAACTATTATTTCCTATTTACTTTACACTATTTTTAGTAATATTATTATTTTTCTTTGGTAAAAATTTCATTAACTAAATATTTGTAAATTAATTTATATCTCTAATTACCATAGATATTTCCTTATCATTTTATTAGTAATATAGTTAATTTATAGAATTTGATGTATTAATTTATATTGGTTTTTTATTTGAAATTAGTTGCATCTTTTGAATAGATATATTAAAAGTTGAATAAATATTATGTTCTTAAGTTTCCCAACTGATTTATCTATTTTCATATTGATTGTTTTCAAATGATGAACTATTAAAAATAACAGAAATACTCAATATTTTAAGTTGTATTGAATAAGATTTAATAATTGTTGGTGGCTGCCACTTAGTTTACAGGTTATTTTTGTAATTTTAACAGTTTAATGTTTCGCTTCTAAACAATTTTATGTGCTGTCACGATTAACAAATTGGGTTTTGGAATCTGAGACACAATTGATTGATTATACGCTATAGTACCTTGAATTGTAGTTTGCATATTATTTATTTCTACTCCAATCTATTGTAATATTGTGTAAAATATTCATTATCATCATTGAAGTACAACAAATCCTTATATAATATAACATGATCAATTTGCAAATTTCCCAATATTTCTGATATTGGTTTGGCAAAGTAAAAATGAAAGGAATTATAATACCTATTATGTTGGTAAAATTGTATACTTCTTCTTTAGATAATCAATTTAGAATTATGATAAAGAACTTTAACATAATCTACATTCTTTATATTATTTATAATACATAATAATTTTATTAATTATTATATTCTAAGTTAAGACAATTACAAAACTTTTTAATGAATTCTTAAATCATTTATTAATTCCATTTGACAATTCTCCATAAAGTTTATCAAATTCTTTTTTCCCATAAAATTTAAAAAGTTTAACTAAATCTAATTTTTTATCTGTTTTTTTCATAATTTATCTAATATCTTTATCTTCTATAGGTTTGCTAATTGCTTATTTAATGATTTAATCTCCCCATCTTATATTTTATTCTTGAAAACTAAAGAATGCAAATAAAGCAGCTTCATCTTTAGTTAATAAAGCTTCTTAATGAATAGTAATCATAGCTATAATTAAATTTGTATAACCTAATACAGTTCCTTTAATAAAAATATAATCCCAAAATAAAACGCAATCTAAATAATCAAATAGATATACAAATCCACTAAGTAAAATCTTACTAATCCAAATTGAAGGTTAAATATTACAATTATTAAAATGTTCATAGACTTTTGGTAATTTAATTTACATCAAATTCATTATGATTTCTTCCATTATAAATAATAAAGGTAGATCTTCTTTAAAAAGTAAATTAAACATATAAAAAGGAGAATCAAGTAATTCAGCAAAAACACAAACAGTCTCTTATTCTCTGGCTCCAGAAACTAATAAAAATAAAGCTATAAAATGTAATAATAATAATTAAACCTGCAATATAATTCATTCCTTGACAATATCCAACTTAAGGATATGATTAAGCTAAATTAGAAAGAACATAATCTAATTTTTAAACAACAGCTTCTTCTTTGAATAAATCACTTATTAAAGTTCTGTTTATGTCTTTTTATATACAATATGTAGCTTCATTTGTTTATGAATCGAACCTTTTACGAAAAATGCCTTTTTTAAATGTTATAACTTTCCAATATCCCCATCTATACTATTAAGGTATTCCCATCAATCCATATTATTTAAATTCTTATTTTTCCTATATGAAAAATCTAAACATGTAATATTCATAATCTTAAGTCAATAAAGGACAATCTTTAAAAAATTATTCTATATTTTAAGGTTTAGAAAGTGAATTTCTATAATTTGATAAAGTTTTAATTGGTTCATCATAAACTTTAAAGGAATCTAATTTTTACTCCCAAATTAGATCTAATTTAGGATTTTAACCAACATTTAAATATTTGCCAATAGAGTGGAGTTAAGAAAAAGAATTTGCTCTATCATTTTACTTTTGATTTTCTTATTTGTTAAAATACAAACTCATTCTATTGACAGACTCTTCCTGTTAAAATTATGCACACGATAATTAACCCATTAATTTATATAATCATTATAAATATCTATTTATTCATATAAATATTGATTAGATTACTAAAAAAATAAAATGGATTAAAAAAAAGTGAGTAAAATAATAGAACTGATTTTTCTATCTATTGCAGTAAGAATAAAAATCTAATAAATAAAAGTGGTTATCAGTGTTGGCTTGTTTAATTAGAACTGATTTTAATTTTCCATTTGCTTTCTTTTGTTATTATTTATGGATATCAAGAGATGATAAAGCTAATTCTTTAATGGTAATAAATAATCATATGTATATTATAGTTAATGGTATTGAATGGAATACTAATTTTAGTAGATTTAATTTGGTTATTATCAGTTGGATCTATATGGACAGCAACTGAAAAAAATAATCCTGTTTGGGGACATTTACATGGTTTACATGTATTTGTTATCTTTATTAGCATTGTTAATGTCTTATTAAAAGTGTTTTATATATTTTATTTATAGGTTGGTGCTATTGTAGCCATTAATTCTTATAGAGGAAATCAATCTTAAGTTGGTTATATTAAATATATATTTTTAGCTGCTTAATTATAGAATCCATAATAAAGTGGCCTTAATGATATTTCTTAAAACAAATAAGTACCTTATGGTTAATATTGATCAAATAAAACATACAAAATTATATAAACTTAAATAATTATTTTATTTAACAGTAAAATTATATGTCAAACATCATCTAATCATACAATCAATTTATTGCCTCCGATTAACTTTACTTATTATCTACTGCATTCATTCAATTTATTGAAGAAGTAACTTTTATAAATTTATTTTAGATTTTATTACCTGTTATCTAGTAAGATACAAAACAATTTCAATATTGGAGTAAATTTAAAGAAATTATTTGTCCATTTAATCAAACTATTGAATTCTCCAAAATTCATTTATTTTTATAATCAATAAAAAACTCAAAAAACAACCTAGAAAATTAAACAACAACTTAAACGAAAAATAATCTTATTTCATAAGATAGAAATTAAACAGTTACATAAATTAATTTTAATTCTAATCAATCAAACCAATCTTAAACCAAATTTAAAGTTATCTCTGAAAGAATAAATAAAGTATTTCATTAAAATAATACTTACTTTGATATTTTGTTAAGAATGAATGATTAATCTCAAGATGCAAAATTAAAATTAGATTTTAATAATTAAAGAATTACATCTTTAAATAGAAGAATGGATTTTAAGAGAAGAAATACTGATTATTACTCATTAAAACCAATAAATATATGATTACTAAATTTTATTTTTATTACTTCTCTTACATACTATATATATTCCTTATTTTATATAATACAAAATTTATTACATATATTTTTATATTAAATAATGAATGTAAAAAATTATATATTACGTAAACTTATTGGTGACTCTTCAAATATATTGACAGTTGAATAAGTCTAGAGAATACTTGAATCATAAAAGGATGATGATAGAATTTTTAGGTAAAATTACATATGCGAAATAGAGCAATTATTAATTCATCATTATCCAATTAAAAACTATAGACAACTAATTAAGAATTCCTTATTAATTCTTCAACCGATTTTGGTAATCTATTGTTGAAATAATTGCAATCAAGTTTAGTATATATACTAATCCATATTAACATTTTAGTAATCCATAAAATCAAAGAATTCACTTTTATCCTTAGACCAGTTTCCTATAGACATCAATTAATTTAACAATGATATTTCACAAACTGATTTAATAAAATAATAACTTTAACACATTTATCGATTATACAAAGCTACTATTCGATAAAATGGTGATGGATTAAAAGAAACTTTAAATTACCTTGAAAATTTAACTCAAGCAGAGTTAATAATCGAATCTTAATTTGCATAACAATGTATTTTAAAAGCACCATTATACATCTAAGGAATTGATTAAATTAATTTATGGTGTGATAAAAGCACTTCTTTGTATTAAACTGTAATCTCAACTAGATAGTTATTGTAATTTAATAAAAGTAAATCATTAAAAAAATAATTGCAAATTGTTGAAAAATACAAAGCAATATAAAGAATTAAATATACATTAGAAAAATTAATGATTCTAAAATAGACATTCGGATCGTTAGCTTAAGCAATGAATAAATATGATGATAATGCATATGAAATCATACCTATTATGAAAGAAACATAAAATAAGATTAATAAGTATAAATTAAATGAATTGAATCTATCATGTATAAGTGATAACTTTTTTGACAATAAAATAGAATTTTTGAAAGAAAGAATCAAATAAGGTATTTTGGCTAATTTTATGAAATTTGATGAAAAAAAATATTTATCCTTGTTGAAGAGTTATTATTTCATAGAAAAACATTATTAGATGTAATCTTATTTAACTTAAATTTGGGCTTTAGCAAAAAAGAGTATAAATATAACTTTTAAAAATGCCATAAAACTATTTGAGTAATCATATATTCCTAATAAAATTTATTAAAACTGTTAAGATGAAGACTTACTATAATTCTACAAATAATTATATAGTGAATTGGTAGAATAGATGTTAAATTTTCATTATTGCAATAGATTTCATTAAGAAAATGATTTTAAAATTGAAGATGAAGAAGATAACAGTATTAAATTTGAAGATTATACTGAATAGATTAGATAATCATATTTAGAAATGAGATAATTAATATGGTAATAAATTCAAAAGAAAATTATTAAAATAATTAATTCTCATTTAATCAATATTAAATCACTAGTTATTGAACATTTAATTTATTTTTTAGGGTATAATTGTTTATTAATAAAAAGAGCCGAAGATTTTAGCCACTCAGATTCATAAAAGTAAATTTATAAATAATATTTAGTTTAACTAAATGTATTATAGAAGTTTATTTGAGTTTTGTTTAATAATTTCATAAAGCAAATTTAAAATCGATAAGTACATATTTATAAAATGAATTATATTAAAGATTACCTTTAACTAAAGATTCCAAATTAATTTAATAATTAGAGTAGCTATAAAATTTAAATTAAGTAAATAAAAAGCTTTTCGAATATTTAAATGAAAAAAGGGAAGAGAATTATTAATAGGAAACAAAGAAAACTATAGATTTTTAAGATTTAATTAATAATGATAAAGAGATGCAATTATTTTATTTATTCGAATATTAAAATCCCTTTGTACTTTAATAAGAGGAATTTGATCTAATTATTAAAGCAATTTGGATTAAAAAATATTCTAATTAATCGACAGGGATTTTAAACTAAATTGAATAAGTATTATCATCATCAAGTATAAGAATATTGGAATTGGTTCCTTAATATGCTCTGCTTTCCTTTTATCATCCTTCTTGTCAATAGTAAATAATATCCAGTTTTCTTTAATTGCTTGAACTTTATATGTTTATTTCATATAATTAATTGGTAGGAATGACTTAGTAAAAATAACTTTTGGAAAACTTTTCTTAAGTAATCAAATTTGATGAAAGTAAAGAAATAGAATTCTTTATCTTAACTTATGATTAACTTAGTGACTGTTTAGTTCTTTAAGAACGTTTTTGTTATTTTAAAAGGTTTATTTTAAAATTTTGTAAAGAAGGAATAGATTTTAAAGAGATAGATATATTTTAGACAAAAGAAAAAAGGTAATTTGTTGATATTGCTGAAAGAGCCATAGCTTCGGAATCATTAGCATATTTACTTTCTATATCTAAATCTGTATTTTCTCTTATTGATATAACATCCTAAAACTTTGAAATTTTTAAGGAAGTTTATAACTAATATAAAGAATTTATTTATAGAAATTTTGTATAAACTTATATTAAAATTGATGGAATTGTATAATACGTACCTTAATAAAGATGGGAATTAAAAGATCTTCATAATGAAAATAATAATATTTATTTGGATAGATTAATTTAATTTATTCTTGATTAAAAAGAAAGATTAAAAAGTATAGGTGGTGGGGTTATACCATTAAATGCTTAAAAAGATGTATTTTCTTTTTTAGCAGAACATTGTTTAAATGTTTTATTGGAAACATATGGAAAAATTAAAAAAGTTTCTAATTTTATTTTATTTTAGTTAAATTCAATTGGAAGAGATTAAATGGTTTTCGAATATACTACTTGTTGTTAATCAATTGAATCAAGCTAAAAAAATGTTAAAGAAGTTGTACTTAATCCAAAAATTACATTAATGTAATTAGAATACTTAAAAATTTTTAATTCCCAATAATATGAAGAAATCGATCAGTATATACAAAAATCAAAAGTAAATAAGGTTAAATATATATTTATAGACTTAAATTCCATTAAGATTGCTGTATAATTTGATGAGCTCAAGTTCAAGTTATAATAAATTATCAAAGTAATAAAAAAAGGATATTTCAGTTAAGTTTTTCAAAGATTATTATGACACATTTAAATTATTTTGATGGTATTTATAAACCAGTAACAATTTAATAGAAATATTATTATTAATCATTCTATACTATTCTCATATTTCACTTTATTTTTAAATTATTTATATTCTTAATATTATAATCAAGGTATAATGATTTTTTTTTAATTTTAAAATTTTAATCATTTTTCATTTTATTTAATCCAATGGATAAAATTCTAAGAATTTAGCTTTTGAACTTTCAAATTTCTATCTCTACTATTAAAGTTGGTTCGATTTCTATTATTCTTATTAGAATTATTCTTATAAAGACCATAAATGCTTCTGATAAAAAAGAGTAGAAGTATTAAAATGAATTAATGATAAAGATCTGAAAATCTAATTTTAAATTTAAAAAATGAATTTATTTGATGATTTTTAGTAGATTTATCTAAACAGATTATTTGGTGATATCTTTAATATGAAAATATAATTAATAAATATTATTATATATAAATTTGAAAAGTACTTTTTGATATAAATTGAGAATTAATAGCTATCATAATTTTACATATTTTAATTATAT